GTAAATTGATCACGCCGCAATCAGTCGGAGGGGTGTCGAAAGGGGCGGATGAGCCTGCCTCTGACTGTCTCGCTGTACGAAGTGATTTGGTAGTGATCGACTCAAGAAAAAACAACCAGGGTGGAAATGGTGCTGGTGGAATTATCCACGCCTCCTCACCGCCTCGACCGATTGCCACGTTATCAGCTATAGCTGTTTCTCTTGGAATTTCTTCTCAGTTTATTCTTGAAGTTTTCTTACAGAAGGAACTACACGGCACTCCACTTCGAAGTCATCTTCACGAAAAACGGCTCAACAAAAACTTCTCTCTAATGAATATGTTATGAGGCGTTTGATTCAAATGTATTACTATGATTTTGTTGAATTTGGTTTCTTATAAAATGCTGGTAATAAAGTCTAGTACAGATTTTTGCAGAGCAACTGAGGCTTCGTGTCCGTGTCGAATCCAACAAATATACTCGAAATCCCTGAGATCGGGTAGGCGTGGCTGCGTACTTAATTTTAAAATGGCGGCCGCTTAGGTTTTCGTGAAATGCTTTCATTTTAGAGCAGTGTATTCATGTCTACATCTAACACCGAACGAGATAGCAGTTGTTTCAAATGAAGTATTTCACGCTTAACTCGTCCTATACCATGCTGAAAAGCCACGCCTACTCCATTCCAGGAATAAGGAGTGTATCAATACACAAGCAAAGAAAGCACTTGGTGGCAAAGTGTACATCCACCTCAGTGCAGTGGATCCTAGTCCTTGCCTTATGTGAGGTGAACGGAGCCAAAGCTGCAGGGCTTGCCCTCTTCACCGAAAAGTGCACGAGAACGGGGCTGGAGAGACGGTTATACTCGTCACACCTGCACTGTCGCACTGCACGTTGGAGCTTCTAGAAGCTTCACGGCAAGTCCTTTGTTGGGGGGGGTGCTGTCATAGGGTAATGACGCCACTTCAACAGAATAGATCCCAGACCGCGGTGAATGCCCACAGGGTTCAACAAGTTTATTCAGGGCATCGAGCCAATAGCTTTTCTGATGCCACTCACGCGGCTTCTTACAACAACCAATGCAAATAAGGGATGCCGCTTGTGTTCTGCTCAGGGCGGGTGGGGAGGGGGGGGGCAAGGCGTGGAACTTTTGCGCCTGTCTCTTTTGAAGTTCCTGCTGAATTCGCTGAATGTCAACCCGCATCTTGGTCTCGTAGACTCCTGTCATGTGTGAACAAAGTTCTTGCTGTTGCATGGATTTGCAGAAATGTACAGGTCTCTCCAGGATGCATCAGTAATGACCAGTGGGAACCAGCAAAATGCCCCTACTAAGCCGACTGAACATTGGTGCCTATGCGAGCGTTCCGTCACGTGCTGGCACACATACAACGCATAAAAAGATAACATCTTCAATACCCTGGATTTACTGCGAATGCGAAGAGCCTGCTAAGTAAGTAAATACAGGCCCGATTTCCCACCTTTGTTTCGCCTTTCCCCTATGTTAGGATGGAAATCCTTCAACAAACGCTCATCATTTCTGGTTGTTCTGTTCATCGTCATATTCTCTGGCTATTTTTGGAACCAAGCGGTCTACGATTGGTATAAAATATCATCGACGGAAATGCGAGTTCCTCAATGTTTGTTTTTATATGTTCTTATTTTCATCACATTATTTGTTCGATTTCACCATATTTTTTTCACACAGTTTTCGGTGTAGTTCGGCCTAGTGGGGGCACCAAATAGTACAGAGCGAAGCTTGTGCTAGCCACCCTGTGAAAACATGTATGTAACTGTGACTAATGTAACTCACTCGCACCGTTTTGCAGCTCGCAAGAGCTTACAGGTCTCATCTTGTTGGTATACGTAGCGGAAATGCAAAGCCCCCCCCCCATCCTTAGGAAACCGAACGTCGCCCACTTTATTCATGTCACAGTGGAAGGTGTAGGTGCAGTGCTATTTACGCGCAGCTGAAAGCAGTTTGCATAGAGCCATTCTGATAAGGAGCCGATCGCCCCAAGGAGAAGTGTGAGAATCAGCGCCATTGCTCTATTTCTCTGCCTCATTATAGGAATGCACTCCACATCCCAGAAATGGAGAAGGCGTGGTTGTGTACTCTAATTAACACAGTGAATGGCGGGTTTCTCGTGGGATATTTCTATTTGAGACAACTGTCGTCGTGTCCAGTGCTGGATGCAAACATGATTAGGATTGTGCCAAAACGAAAATATCCAATCAGAAGCGCGGTTACCACAACTAAAATGAAGTACGCAGCCACGCCTTCCCCACCCCCTAGGTGTGGTGTGATAAAGTATAGGTGGATTTGTTTGAAGTCACATGAACAGCAATCCAATCATACTTCTTGACAGTTGAAAAATAACCGTTTTTCAGATCTCGAGGTAGTACCATATTTCAAGGAAGTGGAGGAGCTTTTGCAACGAATTCCCAAAGCTAATGCGAAGAAATTATTCCAGCCTATAACAACATAGAGAATCATTTTCTAGTAAGTAAAAAAATATGAGAACTCTATATTTTCAGTAATACCTAACCACAGCCGTTTATTTTGTGATGCTTGAATGTTTTTTTTCTGAGATACGCCATGCACTTTTTTGTTCATTCAGAAGAGCAAAGGCACTGAAAGTTCGGTTTGCCGGAAATATCGCTCGAACATTTAAAAATGTAAAAAATAAAGATTTCAAACAATTTGGCGCTTTTTCAGGTGTCACCAGACTACAAAATGGCAACATGCGAAATTGAGAAAAATATGATTACAATTCGACGGGCAATTTTCTGTTATCTGACCAATACCACGGACTTTATTGCACAGAATCGATCGATCAGTACAGAATTTTGGGACAATAGGTATACTGGATTCTATACAGAGAATCGAAACAACACATAGACAATTTATAATGAGAATTCAAATTGATTGAAAGGCACAGTCTGCGCTAACCGCATGGGAGGAGACAGTCAATCGCTGTCACTGCTACGCCCTACCTATTGAGACCGCATGGAACGTTAATGAGTGAAGCGCCTGACTGGCTCCACCCATATAATCAGCGTGGACTATGCCTCTCGTATGAGAACATCTTCTTCATAGTAAAATTTGCATTCCAGGTTATGTGATGATTCTCTTATTTATGACAGTATAAGCAGTGTTGAACGGGCGTTCGGTACCAATTTAACGCTTTTCACTGTGATTCGTCATCCGATCGATCGATTTCTCAGTGGATACGTCGATAAATGCATGAAGTAACGTAAATGTCAACTTAATGGAATGGAATAGGAGTTGGTTAGCTTCACTGGGATGTGCTACGTATTCGGCGGTCATACTGGATTGTTGAAGTGTTGGGCCTTGACAGCCAAAAATGGAATATTTCGCACAAAAGTAGTTAAGGCAGCGTTCATAGTTCGCGACAGCAGCGGCGATCGCCAGTAGGAGGACCAGCTCGCCCCAAGATGGACGGATTGAAAAACTTGTTGGAAAGGTATTTTCATGTGTTTTTTTCTTTCTTCCGCCCACTAGTACTCTCAGTGAGGGGGTTATTTGATTAATAAGTGGGGTGCAGTTAAATAATAGGCTTCTAGATCGAGAATCTTATAATTTTCTTTAATTTTTGGAATCTTATAATTTTCATCCGAAGTGGCTCTTTTCGACAACTTGGCCGATTTGAGCCATTTCACGGCATTTTTGCTGCATCTCCGGCCGGGTGTGTCGTTAGGTCGCCTGGCGAGAAAACTCGTCCAAAGGGACCCTCTTTGCCGGTTTTTTCGCCAAGTGTGTCGTTAGGTCCGCCCGCTGCCCCGCCCCACGCCGCACCGCCCCATTCCGCACCGCCCCGCGCGAGCGACCGCGCGAACAGCCGCGCGAAAAGCCGGAAAACTCGTCCGATCGCGCGGAACACTCGTCCAGCCGCCGTCCCAGTGAGCCGAGTGTGTCAGTAGGTCCGCCCGTGCCACCACGCCCCGAATCAAGCCCCGCCGCGCGCGAAATCCGCCGCGGAAAACTCGTCCAGTGGGGCGCCGAGTGTGTTACTAGGTTCGCCCGTCCCGCCCCGCCGCGCGCGACAGACCCCGCCCCGCCGCGAGAGACGCCGCGCGCGAAATCCGCCGCGGAAAACTCGTCCAAATGCCCCAGTGAGTGCGTCCGACCGGAAAACTCGTCCAGGCGCCGCCCCGAGTGTGTCAATAGGTCCGCTGGAACAGGGAGAAAGAAAAAACCGCATGAAAATACCTTTCCAACAAGTTTTTCAATCCGTCCATCTTGGGGCGAGCTGGTCCTCCTACTGGCGATCGCGGCGATCGCCGCTGCTGTCGCGAACTATGAACGCTGCCTAAGGGGGTGGCGCAAGACCATTTGGGGTTACAGGGCTCCCGTCAACCGGATGTTCTCTCTTAGTGAGGGTCCAGCTATTTTTGTCGAGTACCTAAACGTGCTGGTCAATAATCTTGTCATCATTCAAGTAATAGATTAGAATTTCAGCGATCTGACATACTACACGGCGGAAGAACGATGTTTTGGATGTCGGGACGATATGAAATGTTTTGTCGATCGTCTTCATGCACTATTTATCCAGTACTATGATGGTGTGAAAAGCGCTGATTATGAAAAAGCGCGTTTCAACGACTACTACGTCCGGCATTTTGCTCCCCAAACATGGCCGCTGAGGACACAACACTGCCCAAATACAGTTTTGGTTAAACTGAGAGAAGACGAGGTGTCAAGAAGCGTGAGTGCGGCGCGACACTCTGCCCGTCCTATGTTGACACGCCCCCTTAAGGCATGAACAGTTATCAAACCTGTTTGACCTCGCCGAGTACTGGTCCAATCGTTTTGCACCGTTTCCAACTAGGTAAATAAATGGACGATCCAGACTATCCCAAACAGTGACGTGTCATTTTAGAATACAAATTTATTGAAGCTCTATAAAAACAAAAAGAAAACATCACCAGCCTGGTTTCAGTATGCAAAAATGAGCAGCCAGCTGCTGCAGACAACATGTCATAAGCAGATGCACCATTAGAAACAACCTCGAAAAAAGTAAAAACCACCGAATATCTCTTCTTATTCCTCAAACATACCCTTTCCCCACTCTACCGATTCGCCATTTTTCGATAATTTCTTGTTACAGGTACTGCGAATTCGAAAAACGCAAAAATGAGTATATCATTGTGGATTACGGTAGCGGACCTGACCGTACCCAGAAGGTCGCCAACGATTTTCAAAAAGTTTTCAGACGAGCACAGGTGCCTGATCACCATCTGCAAATAATCTACACCGAGATGATGAGTAAGTGTTCATTGAATTTAGATTCTGTAATATTAGGGTCCTACAGCACAGTCCATGCTAATTGTGTTGGTGGACATTGCTGATATTATGGGAGTCGTTATGAGGAATTCCGTTGTAAGGCATAGGCCTTCTAACTATCTTTCGGCGCAGTTTTTCGCGAGGGAGGGGGGCGCATTCCTGCGCTCTTACACCATAGATCGTGATTTCGCATCTAGTAGCCTTTTCTCGAGTTGACACGTTTTAGGATGGTGGCTAGACGATCTTGCACCAGCTTCACAAGGGTTCACAAGTTTTACCAGGGTGAGATTTGTGAACCGGAACTAGGGAAGCAATGGTAGTAAAAAATGCCCCCCCCGTCGACAAACAGCGCCCTATCTTTCTATTACCATTGCTTCAAGCACTTTGACGGTGCTGCATGCTTGATGCTAACCAATGTGGGATAGAGACGGCCTTCCAAGGTCGCTGTAGTAAACAATAAATTGATGTGGTACTACTGTCGTTTATTAGCCTCATCGCCTTGAAAGGTGCGAAAGGACTCGAAATAGAATAGATAATAAAGCCCTCGCATTCACAAACTACGACTTTTCAACCTGGGAATAATTTTTTATCCCAAAACTTAGTTACAAATTATGAAATCATCCTCCGAAGTAAACAAACATTACTGTGGAAATTAGAGAGCCAAATTGAGACAGGAACTGCTGGGCACAGTTCCTCTGTAACACCCCCAAGATAAAGGATAAAGGGTAAAGTTGTTCGCCGGATGATCAATCCCCTTTGTGGGATGCAGCAAGCCATTCTACTCTCTTCCAGAGATCTAGTGGCCTTAATTGAATGCGAGTCGTGCCTTTACAATGACTTGCGGGGGCCCAGCCGCATCGTACAAAGTCAGTGGTTTATTCCTCCCAGACGAATTTCGCGTACAATTTACCTCGCCCGGAGCGTGTAGAAAGGCTTGGTACCGCCAGGCGCGGAGTCGTACCCGACGATTCGAACCCGGCGTTCGCGCGAGTGGTAGGCGCGCCAACTTGTCACCACACACTCCGACCATTTCGCTAACACTCCTGACCCATGTTATGATAACTGCTGTTTAACGCCGCAGTACGCGTTCCGAATGTTATCACAAGAATGCTGAGTTGTGGGCAAAAGTCGTGCCCCAGGCGGGAGTCGAACCCGCACCTCACGCTTTCCGGCGAGTGTCGGCTATCCCGTTCTTCCACCACGCCTTTACCCTCTCAAAAACAGCTTCAAAAACATCTAACACGTCCCTCTCGGTCGCGTCTTCATGCCGATTATCCATCGATTTACGGAATAGACCCGGCTCATCCAAGTTAGAAGCCCGTCCTGTGATGCTTGATAGGCTAACGGCATAAAGCCTTTAAGCTGAGCCTGACCTGGTAAGCCAAGGTCGTGCTTATATTCGAGGGCGGAGGATTACCTCTTCAATCTAACAACCGATCTGTAGCGAACTTTGTCCGAACTGTAGTTGCACCAGAACTGAGTCCGAACGTCTCAGGGCACTTGTCACCGAAAAGCCTCTCCTCTCTTTCCTTTTTTCTTCCTCCCTCCTTTTCCTTCCTTCCTTCTCTGATCCCTCCTCCTTTACCTTCTCCCTTCAACTACTGGACTGGTAGATGCCTCGTGAAAATAACCCTGTACCTCCTGCCAAGCGGAGCACGTCTCAGAGTTGAACACAGCCCCGTAAAAACCGAGTTCAAACTTTAGTCTACCAAAATGGGCGCCCAAATGGGTACCGTCGGACGGAAAAAATGCTCACCGTCAGTGATCAGATCACTACTTTTTACGCCTACTTGTTATAGCGGCGTCTTTCGCTTCTGCAACACTACGCATGCAGTGAAATTACATGGAATAAGTTGTGAAAGCACTTGCACTGTAAAATAATTCTCTGGTCTGTAGTAAGTAAAGTAATTCGGCTCTTTATATTCATGTATTTATCCTCCAAATGCAAATACATAAAGCGTTGCGAGCGGTACGAAATCCCTTACGCTGCGCACATATGCAGAGCCTCTGACGGGGCGGCAGGGGGGGGGGCAAAAAAAAGTCATTTTGCCTCCATGACTTTCAAGGCGCTATAAGTTACACTTTATTAAATTTTTATCGGACATTTTTACTACCATATTAAAGAGCACATTAAATACTATAATGATACTCCGCCACAGCCTTCTGGAGGAGCGCCATCGAGAGATTCGGCCGCGCGAAAGTGAGTGGGTACCGGAGTTGAGCGAGATCGTTGATTTCTCCGCCACTGTAGACCACCCTGTTGAGCTCCGCCCGAACCGAGTAATTGAGGGGTTTAGTTCAGGACCCCGCTTA